GATCCGTCCTCTCAGTTTTTAGTTCTGGGTTGTAATATTCAGCCTTGGGCTGCGTTTGCACAGTTGTGCGTTTTGATATATAATATTTCTATCGTTTCGGAAAAAAAAAATATATACTAATTATTAGTTTATAAAAAATTAAATTAGTATTTAGTATATATTATAAATTAATAGTATAATTTATTCGTCACATTTAGTATATTAGTACAATTTATTCATCACATTTTTCCTTTCCTTTATTTGTTTTATTCCATTGTTCATCATATTTTTTTTCCTTCACATTTTGTATATATTATAAATTAATAGTATAAAATTACATTAATTGTTATAGGAGAAGAATATTTAGTATAAATTATTAAGTTATATACATTAATTAATTATCTTATAAAATAAAATTTATTGATATTACGTTAGAAGTTAGAATTGATTATATAATAAATTACAAATTATTATTATTATTTTGAGATAAGTTATAATTTATTATTTTTGTAAAAGTATTAACATACATCGTAACATATTGCAGGTGCCACTCGAAGATTTTGGAGGAGACGGTGAAGATTATCGAGCTTGTTTCGTTACAGATGAGTTATTTGATAATCCCGACAAAGCTATTGAATGGGCAAAAAACATTGCAATAATATGGGGTTTCCACTTGGTCATCTCGAGACACAATAAGGATGGAACAGTTCGGACGTTGAGGTGTGATCGAGGGGAACGTTACAGGGGCAAGGCAGGAAAACTAGGAAATTTAGTGAATGTTGTCTTGAGACGTTCGAAGACGAAATATATTGGTTGTCTTTTTCAGTTAAATGTGAAATTTGAAGAGGTATCCCAAAATGGTGTATCTGGCTTCCTTTAGAAGACGAGAAGAGATTTCATAATTATGCGTTGACTGTCTATACCGAGGGTCATCGACAGATCAGCAGACTCAGCGATTCATCCAAAGAGATTATCCGTGACATGAGTGATGCTCAGGCAAGACCGGCAGCAATTTTGGCTGCAATTCAGGAGAAAAACCCTGTGGACAACGCTACTTGCCAACAAGTTTATAACTATAAAGCTCGATTGCGAAAAGACCGTATGGGGGGTTGAGATATTGCTGGCCAACTGCTGCATTTGGCTACCGACAGCAACTACATAGTTTACACAGACGTTGACCCGAACACACAGGCGTTGACACATGTGTTCATGTCGCATCCACGAGCAGCCAGTCTATTCCGGACATATTATTGGTATGTCGGTATAGATTCCACTTACAAAACCAACAGGTATGTTACATTAATTTATAAATCTATATAAATATAAAAAGATTTAGTAACTAATCGGTCAAAATAAAGTTTGAAATTGCATGTCCCAGATTTTCTTATAATTTTGGATTGGTTGTAAGTAAGGATATTTGAATAAAAAAAAAGAATGAAATTGTCAACAATTGCGGCTTCAGTTGTCCGAGATTCTTAAAAAAAACTTCGGTTGATGTTGTTACAAAACGAAAAGGAAATAAATATAATAAGGTTCTATTAAAAAATCGATTAAAATCTGTAAAAACATAAATCGGTCAAATATTATTACATGATAGTTTAATTAAATATTGTTTTTGAGATAAACATTCGAAATTGTTCACGAATTTTATTCACATTTTAATTAAATAGTGTTAATGATTCGAAATTGTTTACGATTTTCATTTGCACAGGAACCAGACGCCGTTGGTTGAGATGATTGGAATGACGCCGTGCAATAAGAACTTCTTAATTGTTTATGCAATTGTGAAGGACGAGACCGAGTATAGCTATGACTGGGTCCTACAGCGGTTGAGACTGATGATAGAGTCTGATAAACAGCCTTCAGTCATTGTCA